GAACCCGTGTCCCCTGCATCAGCAGGCGGACTCTCAACCACTGCGCCACCAGGGAAGCCCTCTATTCTTTTTTTTTTTTTTTTTTTTTTTTTTCCTCTGTCGTCGATCCGGAGTTTTGGCTCCTCTCCTTTCCTCCTCCCCCTCGTAGCCGGCTTCTCCCCCCGCCCCGTCTCTCCCCCACTGGTGTAAGCTGTTTGTTGGGGGGTGGCCGAAGGGGATGTCCTCTTTTCACCAGAGGCACAGCGTTCAGGGGAAACTTCAACACTGGAAGGCACGAGAATAAGTACCTAAATACGGGCGCACGGATCCGCTGCTGGGGAAGACACTTGAATTTGGGATCCCGAGACGGTCCGGGCGGCAGGAGGTGAGTGCCTCTTCTTCCGACGCCCCCCTCCCCCCCGCCCCGTTCCGGGGCCCGCGGGCTCCAGGTTTCAGGGATCCCGCAAACTCTCTCCGGAAAGTGCGCGCAGCTCCTCCGGGGGCGCCAAGCGCTGGGGACAGTGGGCGCACTGCGGGAAGGTGTGTGGGAGCCGGGGTCTCTGAGGGCGCTTCGTTGCGGAGTGCCCCCTGCCCAAGGGCCCGGGCCGCTCTGAGTGCCGCGGTGTGTTCTGCCCTGGAGGACGCCCTGGCGCCCCGAAGGTCCCTGCCGAGCCTTTCTTTCCCCGCGGAGCCCTCGCGGAAGAGGCTGCACCGCCCCATACCTGCACTCCGTCCCCGCCTTGCAGAGGCGCGAGCCCCTGCGTCTCCCCTGCGTCCTTCTTGTGACATTTGTTACTTTGCCTTGACGCCCTAGATAAGTCAGACTCAAGGATGCTGACCCGGGTCCCATGGAGGGCCCCAGGCGCCTGGGGTTTTCACGGTGCTGGGTGCGTGTGTACGTTTAGTGCTTTGTGTTCTCATCTCGAGGCACCAACCGGGCTGTTCAGCTGCGGCCGTCCCACTTTAAAAGTCTGTGGCGTGGGCCGAATGTCTCCTGCCTTTTGCCAGGGTCCGTGAAATGAGAGGCGCCTTTTCAGAGGACTCGCGTTCATTGGCCCGGGGCGCGGATGCCGTGGAGGAATGATAACTTCTCCAAACGGAGGGACCTGGCCGGGGCCGTGGGGAGCAGGTTTACTCGTTCCAAAGCCTGCGGTGTCTGGGCGGCTGCGGAACTTGAAACGGCTCGCTGCTTCAGCGTTGTTAAGCGAGATTTGGAAGTAGATCGTGTGTGTGTGCTTGTTTTATTTTGCGCCGCACAGCAGCCAGAACTTTCGTTTAGTAGCACTTTCAGGATGTTTCTTTCTTTTGTAAACAGTGTTCGGAACAGCTTGGAGCCATTAGGGAATTTGCCGACCGAGTGCCGCGCCTGAGCGGTGGCGAAACCGGAGAGCGCAGCTTAATTTTTGTCATCCCTTTCCTAGTTGGGGCGGCACCGTCTCCACTCACCACCACCTCTTTCCCCTTCCTGTTAAAGCTAGTGGGGTTTGTGTTTGAGGTGAGCGCGTGTGTGGGAGGCTGTCGTTTGGAGTCGGTCTTCTCTCCCCTCGCCGCCGGCGTCTATGCCCTGCACTGCCCAGCGGGCAGAGAGTCATTCATGAATCCTAATCTGAGGGCAGTGGAGGAAGGTGCAGGTCCCTCAGACCTTTCTGCCAAGGTGCAGAATAGCGACGGGGCGTGTGTTTTGGTTTCAGAGCAGTTCCACGTGGAGCACCTCCGTGTGCGTGTGTGTTGTGTACTTGATCTGTGAGGAGGTAACAGGAGTCTTGTGTTCAAACCCAGTGGGCCGTTGGCCATTAATTTGCTTTCCTGGCTGTCATTACAGACACTTCCAAAATCTGATACCTAAGAGAACCAACAGGTTAGGTTTCACATTAAGAGCTCATACTTAACAGTTTTCTTTCTCCCTTACCGGTTTTGGCTTGGCACCCTGGGATCAACGTAATTGATGGAGCGAAACATATCTTCTCGAATATGGCATTTTGTTCCTCTTCTCTGCGGCCACTTTTTGCACCCTCGGGCGTGTCAGTTTCAGCGGGCGCTCCTTCTACTGGACTTAGGTGGGAGTCTTAGGAGCATTTAAGCACCGCGGGCTCCCCTTCTACAGCTCCTGAAGTTTGATTTACACGTAGGTGACTGACAGTCTTGAAAGTTGAGGATGGGTTTTTTTTTTTTTTTTTTTTTGGGAGAGAGGCATGTGGCAGGAGCCGGCCCTGCCTTCCTTTATTAATCTTTTTTTTTTTTTTTTTTTTTTTTTTTTGTCTGTTGAGTTGTTTTTGGTTTTATTTTAAAAAGCTCCTCAGGACAGGGATGTAACCTTTCACGGGTAAAATTAGATTTTAAGCAGAAACATTGCCCTCCCCCCCCCAACTTTTTTTCTTTTTAAATATTTCTGGCCAGTTTATAGCTGAAGGAGCAAAAGCTAGGAAGGGGGTGGGGCCGGGAGAGAATCCTAAAACAAAATATTTGATACATAGTAGGGTGTGGTATAACATTATCCCAAGAAATAGATAGCAGTAGTAAGAAGAGGGAAACTATTTTGTGTAGAGCTAGACTGCCAGAATCTGATCTTTATGGCAACAATACCAGATGCAGATACAACTACACTCATTTTTACTGTTATTATAAACCATAAAAATAGTTTGTTCTGCCTCATTAAAAGTTGTAAGCCATTCAGAGTTAAAACCCTTGACAGTTATAGCTTTGAAAGTAACATAATTAGATTGTCTGAAAACTGTTCCTTTTTTTCTGATTATTAAGGATATATCCTTGCCTTTCATAATAGGTAAAGGTCTAAAATCAATAGGTTTTCAAAAGCCAGTTTTCCTTTGCCAATTATCTGAAAATAGTATGCGTTAACCTAAGGCCACCGTAATTAGAGGTTGTTTCACGATTATAACCGAAATTAAAAGATTTACTTGATTATTCTTTTTTAATGAATAAGTAGTTTACTGATATTAGAGACTTAATTTCTTCTTTACAGAATGAAAAGTTTTTTTATATATTTAGAGAATATTTAAGTTTATGTTCAAGTTTAAAAATTTAAAAAGACCCTAAGATTTGTATAAAAAGAAATTTGTATAAAAATAATCATTACTCTTATTAAGAAGTACAGATGCTGCATTCTAGAGGATTTGTAGAAACAGTTGAAAAAAGTTGTCTCTTCGTGAAAGTTTCTTTTTTGAGGGTGGATCAGTAGGTTGCCATTTTGCTGTAATTTATTTTTTTCTTTCAAAAACCTCTTTGAATTAAACAGAAAAGAAAAATAAGACCTCCATTTCTGAGAGTTTTCCTTTTATTTATATTATGATTTGGGGTGTAAATAAATTTTACATAGCCACGGGAAATAAGGTGTCCCATTTCATGTTTTCAATCTCTGTTGCAAGCTCTAAATGACTGATGCCATGTCTAAAAATATATTTATGTGGCTTGGTATTTCATTTTAAAATTTTTTATGCGCTAAAATTAAATTATCGTGAAGTTTTAGAAAAGTAGAATGATAGAAAAACCATGACTACTGTTATGAAAAGTTAGGATGTTGGAAAGTTCACATTCTAACTCACAAATAATAAAATTATACTTATTTCACCCAGTGGAAGCTCGCACTTTTTATACAGAATTCAAGAAGAGGGGAGATAATCCTTTTCAAGACTTAGTGAAATGTTAAGTAATTTAAGAGTGCAAGTATTTATTATATTTTTCATTATCTTTTTTCCCCTCTGTTAGGTAAATGCAGGAACACTGAACATTCAGTAAAAACAGGCCCCCCTTTACAAGAAGTTTATTCACCATAGTTCTGTATTGCAGCTGCTGGTCATATTTCATGGAGCTGTTAAAGCACTTAAAACCTAAAATTAGGTACTGTCTCGTTGTAAATATTTCAGATCACTCATCTAAGAAACAAACAGAAGAGTGTGTTATCAAAAGTAGATGTTCTGAATCCCCTCACTGAAGAGCTGAACAAAACGTCTATGAAACACCTTGTTATTTTTTCAGTGAGAATTAATCATGACAGTTTCTTTTTCAAGTAGATATTATTCTTACATATTCTAAACTCTTATAATGTGTCTCCCTGTAGAGTTATCTTAAACTAATTGTATTCAGAAATACCGTTGGAGGATTTTATTACAACAGTTACTGGGTGAATGCAATCCACACCAGGAGGGATAGGATGACTTTCAGTGTACCTGCTCCTCTCATGAATTTTTCCCGGTGAACTAAGAAATGACATGCTCTTTCAGATGGGTGAGGTGCAGTGGTGTATTTCATTGCAGTTAGCATGAGACTGCATTTTGCAGTTAGATGAATTTTATCGTGGGAGACACTGAATATTAAGTTGTACATGGAGTGAACTTGGCTTCACTTAGTTTGAACTTGAGTGGAAGAAATAAACAAGAATCACATATTCCAAAGTAGTATAAGCAACTCTGATTGCTTTTAAGAGGTTCGAAGACTTTGTAAACATTACTGTCACCTAATATAGCTTGTGGCTCTGCACATTAGGATATGCCTTGGTGAAGTTTGTGATTCTTACCATGTCCCATCCAGGTTTCTACTAGGAGAGTGGTACTGAAAATAAATACCACTATCCTTACCCCCCTAGCTCCTTTTCTTTCTTCCAGAAGAAGCAATGAAACAGATGAATTTAAAAATAGAAACCATTTCGAGTTATCAAAACCATATTTACATGGTGGTTTAAAACAGTTGCAGAGTGTGTACCTCTGAGTCTCACTGTAACCTTTTCTGTCATTGAAAGGTGCTAATTGATCTTAGGGCACTGACATAATAGTATAGTTTGATATTTGAAACCTTTCAGCATTGGTCTGGCCCTTTTCTCACCCTGAGATTTCGGGTTCATGGCTGATGAAGAGTAATACCATGTTAAAATGTCAGGAATTCTAATTTTTTTCCCCCATGTAATACATTTTAATAAAACAGCTGATATTGTTAAGCTTTTATGTATGTACAGTAAGTAAATTTATTTTAATGTACTTCTGAGAGAGAAGGACCTATATTATCATGTTAAGCTTTTTAAAGTATTTTTTTCCACAGGTAGACTTTTTTTTTTAGTTGAAATTTTGAGGCAAAGTCTGATTACTGTGATCACATCTGAATAGGTTCAAAGTGAACTTGCATTAAAGCAATATAGAATAGCCATCTTGAAATTTCATATCTAAAGTATATGTTCTTAAGTATATGGAGACCTTAAAGTATATTTTAAAATAAAAATTGTCAGTTCAGTTTTTATGTAGTTGTAATCTTTCTGTGTAAGTAATCAGTAAATTGCATCATCAATCATTATCATCATTATCACATCACAGCTGACATTTACTGAGGATTTATTTGCTTTTTGCAAAACAGTTTAAATTATTTATGTGGATTAGCTAA